TCTCAAGTGGGGTATTTCAGGGCTCAGTCTTAGGACCTTTGCTCTTTTTGATTTACATCAATGACATAGATGAAAGGATAGTCAATAAATTATTTAAATTTGCAGATGATATTAAGGTCTTGGGTGTTGCTAGCTGTGAAGAGGATGCTGCTGATTTACAAAAGGATTCAGATCATTTAGTGAGTTGGGCAAATAAATGGGAGATGTGTTTTAATTATAATAAATGCAAGATAATGCATGTGAGTTATCATAATTTGTATGGGAATAACCTTAACAGTGTTATGAAGGAAAGGAATCTTGGTGTAATAGTCAATCAGTCTCTAAAGCCATCCAAGCAGTGTGGTGTTGCTAGTGGTAGGGCAAGTAGGATTTTAGGTTGTATCTACAGAAATATTGAATATAAGTCTGAAGCAGTTATAATTTCATTGTACAGGTCACTGGTTGGGCCACATTTGGAATATTGTGTTCAGTCTTGGACTCCTTACCTTAGGAAAGACATTGGAAAGGGTTACTAGAATGGTGCCTGGGATGGTGGAGTTGTCATACAAGGAGAGGCCCAAATCTCTCAAACTGTTTTCTCTTGAAAAAAGAAGAATTAGAGGGGATCTGATTGAGGTGTTTAAGTGTAAAGGGAATTGATAGTGTTGATTCATTATCTTTTTTTCATATTTAAAAGTGAGAATAGTAGGACTAGGGGACACAAATATAATTTTTGGTAAGTTAGGAGTCATCTTCAGGTAAAACAGTTTCATTCTTCTAACAGGGTGGTTGTTCTTTGGAATGGGTTGCCTTCAGATATTGTAGAGGCAGTAAATTTAAGTGAGTTTAAGAAAAAGCTTGATAAATGTAGGAATGATAAGGGCTGGCTATAAGATTTTTTTTTTATTATAATGCCAATTTAGTTTAGAGGATGGAACAATAGGTCCCATGTTGTTCCAAAACATTATGTTATGTTAACAATGTCATCATGTGTATTTTCTTCTATTATTTTAATATAAAGTTTCTATTCATGTTTTATAATTAACATCTTCTTTGAAAATTGCATAATCCTGGTTTATTTTACATAATTCACTCAGTTTTTGGTATTGTATAATTGCTACAAGCTTCCTTTACCTAATGAATAAAAGAAGTTGTTAGGTCACTTTAAAATTGTTTTTGTTTATGTTTTGATTATAAGAAGCAATACATAGTAGTTATTATTTGTTTTAAAAACATGTATTTATGTTTTTAAAATTGTTGATCAATTCAGTTACTTCTCAGTTTTGTTTTATAATGATTTTTTGAAAGTTATTTTAATGTATTCTGATACCAAATAAGTAACTTCACTCTGTTAAACAGCTTCATTTAAATAAATGATAACTAAAGTAACTTTAGAAGTTTCTAAAATTGGAATCTAGCGTAAAGTTTATGTACTTGTGATCTAAAACACTACACTTTTGAGGGGGGGTTTTAACCAGTGGCCTCACTAGGTACTTAAAAGATTTGGAGGTCGTGCCCATAGACATGGGAATTTTCAGCATGATATCGATCATGGTTTTCTATTCTGATTTTTAAAGATGCCCAAAGTGGATTCAGTGCAATGTCAAATAGAATCATTGACAAAAAAGGGCACTTATCAAGCATAAAGACTTTTTTGGGGGGAGGGGTGTCAGAGGAGACTATGGGGACAATAGGTTGCTGCTGGTGCACATAGGGTAGAAAGCCATGAAAAGCAAACAGATCCTGTTCAATCAGTCTTATAAACACTTATAAAATCTAAAACTAACAGGGCCATAGGAAGTGGTAATGCCTGTCAGGCCATGGCCTGACTACTTTCTCATGGCATGTATAGTTACAACTTATGTATTAAAACTTGCTTCTTTTAATTCAATACATTACATTGTGTGTATGCAGTATTTGTAGTTAAAATGACTCAACATTCAATGTCATAGCATTAAATTTTAAAAACATTTTTAGGAGGGCATGCCCTCAGACCCCCTTAAAAAGAGCATGCTTTGTATGCCAGTAGTGTGCTTTGCACACATCATGTGTCACATTGTTTAGCTGTGGCAATGGCCTGATCACTTCAAAATTGCTTCCTCTGACAATGACTAAACAGTGAATTCTTCCATATTAACACTTAATAACATACATAATTATTTTTGTTACTGTAAAGACCTACAAGTCCCTATGTGTCATTAATTTTAAAGCTGAAATGTCTTTTTTCTTAATAACTAGCAGTAAGCAAGGTGTTGAATCAGGCATATCTTTTATTAATTGTGGACAATTTTTTATGACTGAGGAAAAGCAAAATTTTGGGGCATAAGAGAAGGAAGGCAGAACTGCAGTCCACTCTGCCACACACACACACCCTGTGCTCATTACACATTTGTATTGTTTTATAAAAAAACAAAAAGAGAGAGAAATTTGCTTTGTTAAGAGTTTTGTGTAATTATTGAGATATTCTGCCTTTATTTGAAAGCTTTATTATTTTTTTGGACTTAACTTCCACAATCATAACTTTTGTTTTTATCAGTGTATAACAAATCTTTTATTCTGGTTAAGAAAAATTAAAATTTTACTACCAGTAATCTCAGGAAAATTATATATTAAAAACTTTTAAAAACAGAATATACTTACAGTTCAAAAAATAATGTTAAGCCCAGACATTTACAAACAATAAATTTTAAACTTCAAAAACTTTTAAATCCTCCAAATATTTAATTTCAACTGAAAAATATAACTTTGAAACAAGCAAGTTTAGGAAAAAGAACCACAAAGAAAACAACTGTTTTGGAAGTTATCACAAAAAATCTGCTTAATAACATGTACAATTCTCTAATTGTAACTCACAATAACCTAACATACCTAGTTCCCTAATTTCTCAATGTCTGGCGTATTTACTCTTTCTATTTTATAGTTTTATTTTATACCAGCCAAAAAGGTTACATTTCAACACATGATTAGTGTAGACTGTTTAAAGAATGTCTGATCAATGTGTTTAAATATCGCAACAAACTAATTTACGCACATACTTGGAGATGGCTTAAATGGGTAATGAAGAAAAACTTTAATATAAGTTTAACATAACAGCAAATGTACAATGTTTTGACAAGGTTTTGTCATCATCAGTTTTTCTTCATTACCCATTCAAGCACTATTAGTTTCAAAGTGGGTTCCTTGTCATCGTATTTTAATTTATGCACAGTTATGTACTACAGAGACATAAACCTCAATGCCACCTACTATCAGTCATTGTGCTAAAATTAACTAACTAATGGAAGCAAGCTGGTATTTTATAAAGAAACTCAGAAGATAGCTCATTTAATATGATAGGGAAAAATACATAAACTATAAAAATAGTAATAATTAACAAAAAATAAAGAAAATCCCCCTCACAAGTGAAATGTTAAATGCTTAATAAACTTTTTTTATATGCATTTAGGCCACAAAATGCTGTTGTTAGAGATTTGTCAAGTAGAAAAAGTGGGTAAGTCTCATGCATGATAGGAGAGGTAATTATTAGCATCTGAGAGAAAATAAAGTCAACAACTACATTTATTTTACTCTGTGGTTTTATAGTATAAAAACTAAATTGTGCTTACTATGTGTGTTATATGTGTAAATGGCAAGTACACAAAAAACTTTGTTTTTCCTTAAGATCTTTAATAGAAATCAAATTAAAATAATACTGTGTATTTGCTACTATATTGAATAATTTCACACAACTGCTTCGGAAGCTAGTGAATCTTAGCTTAATTTTTGTTTAAGCCAAAGATGTTTTTCAACTGTATTAGTTTTAAGGAGTTTAGAAAAGCATATATTCTGTGTTCATTTTGATTCCTACATGTCTGTGTTATGAAATATTGTTATTTATCATATGTTTGCTCATAACTTCCCTTGTTTTATTTATACAGTTCATTTTTAATACATATTGATCATCAGCTCTAGGTAGTCTAATAACATTACATATTTTATTCTATTTATTCAAACTTCTTGGTGTTTAATGAATGATAGTATATAAATGAAATTTTGTTATTTATGATTGATTAAAACTTAACTTTATCATGCTTGTTTTCACTATTAAGTTTTCATACTATACTTTTATTGATTGGAAGTTATTGACTTTTCTTCTGTGAAAATTTGGTTTTTTGTATCAAAATTTCTAAAAATTTTATCAATCCATGTAATATTAAATTATTTTGGTGATTTGATTCGAAACATAGAAGTTGTGATAATTCTATGTTAATTATGAACTTTGTAATGCAAGTTTTAAGTACAAGGAAATATGGATTTTAAGTTTGTAATTTGTTCTTAAGATTCCTAAAGACTGTATCTCTAAGACACCCACTTCCTATCTCTGCAAGCATAATGAAATTGGAAGTACCTCATCTGATGACTGGTTTGATGGCACTTGCCATCCTGCTTATTTAACCACATTCTATACAGTCTGTAGCTTACAGATTAGAATGTTTTGTTTTTCTTTTTTTTTCATCTAATATTTGTATGCTGTTCATGCTTTAGTGTTTATTAGTCCACATTTAATGGTATATGTTTCATAAAAAAATTAGTGAGTCATAATATGAATCCCCCTGATATCATAACAACTGAACATAATACATGAAGAAGTGTTTTTTCCAAGTACTTGAAATTGTTTCAAGAAATACAAGAAGAAGGACATGTTTGATTGATTACTTTTTATTAACATTTATAAAGTCAGTCCTAAAGTACATTAAAATTTTTGAATGCAAATAAACAATTCAATGGAGAAATTGTTGATACACAGGATAAATGCACAGTAAAACATTTAATATGATAAAAAGTTGACAATTATCATGTAAAATACACTGTACAATTGCTTGAAATTCAAAATCTTACAGTTCTGTTCCATACCAGTACAGCTTTCTGAATTGAAAAAACGAGATCCTTATATAGAGTGTGACTAGATAGACAGACACCCTATTTGAGACATTTTTGTGTTATACATTTTGCTAGTTTTATACGCTCCTAATGAACATGAAACACCAATGATGCTAGAACACTGAGTATACAACAACAAGGAAACTACTGTGTTGTATTCCCTGTATCTGTTCATAACACATATGTGTACAGTGTTGAAACTGAATTATCTTGCTGTCTCTTGATGAGTAATTTGTGTCAGTGGTGAACTGCTTGGAAAATAAAGTGTGCAGGAAAATTTGGGAGATGAAACAAATATTTGGAAGAAACAAGGTAATGCTTGTAATTTAAAATAAGAGAAATTATCAGTAATTAGTATGTTTATTAAACAAAAACCGAAATGGGAATGATGTCATTGACTTTGTTAGTTTTTGTTCATGAAACTAGCGAGTATGTTATATGTATATACATGCAGAGGTTCTTTGTAAGGTCACCTGCTTGAGCAGCAACCACCAGCAACAGGACTGCTGCTTTTATCAGACCTGCCATTTGGAGTTCTATGGTTAAACTGATATCTTTTGGGCTGTGTTGATCATCTCAAGTATATAGGGTCTTTGGATTCACCTCTATAGAAGAAGGGAAACTAAACCCAGCTCATGATGCATTCACGTGTCTTTATTGTGCAGATTTTTTCTCAATCCAGGTATGAGTGAATAGCTACAAATATAATCATACATTTCCAAAGAAGTTCATATGATCCTAACTACTTTTCTGTTTCTCAGGTACCACAATTCTGGAATGGAGACAGAATCTGAAGCAACCTTTCTGCATAAGAAAAAACATAGAAGGTAAAACTGTTGGAAATCAACCTGAGTTAAAAATCTAAATAGAAAAGAAACAGAACTGGCATATTACTGAATGTTTGGTTGAGAATCATTCATCTAACAATACGGTATATTTATATTATGCTTCAAGGAAAGGCATCACCAGTCTCTATGGTAGTCACATTAATTTCAAAATTAATTTCTTTTATTTTGAAATGTATTGAAATTTAACAGGAATCTTAAATATCAAAACATTTGTCTCCACTTATTTTAAATTTGTGACACGTAAGCAAAATCAGCTGTAAAAGGTTCATGTTAAGTAAACAAAATAATTTCTGTACAACGTAAAAATTGATGGACTGTTATTTTTCCTTTACTTACAGGAAAGAGGTAAAAAATATCATTTCTTAGCTGTCTGTTTTGTGAAGTACTTCTGTGCAAACACTTATTTAATTTCACTAGATTTTATATTAGTAGGTTTTCAGTAACAGGTATTATCATGGGTGTGAAACATGAATGTTATACCTCTTCATTGATTATTTGCATAACTGACAGCTTCAATTTGTAGGATTATATAAATGTTATCACCTTTGGTTCTTTAGCTTCTTGTCTTTTAACTATTTAGTATGTTGTGGACTATTATAAGGGCTTGAAATGCTGGAGATAATTTAATGATTACGTCATTCTTGATGCTCTGTATTTAACCTTCAATACCTACTATTTTTAATTGAACAGTTACCTTTTAGTAGTCAGAAAAGGTGGTAAAATTTCGGGATGTTGTCAGCGTGAGTGGTCATAGCCACTTTAAATCAAATTATTTTGATTAAGTACTACAGCAGATTTCACAAGCAGCCCTTCCCCTCTGCTATAGAAACAACCCTGAGTCCAGTGTATACACATTTATGTATGTGTACAGAATTCAATAATCATATAACCAGGAAACACATTTGGAAACTTTGTCTAGAAATATGTGTATATATTTATCTCAACATGGGTTCTACTTCTGCAGATACTATAAAACCCCAAATGGATCTTATCATTTACATGTTTTTACTTTGTTGTTTTGTCATTTGTTAGCTCATTTTTTGCCTGTGGCCATAGTGGTTTTGCTCAAAACTCTTTACACAAAAAAATGTTCACGTGATACATTTTTTTTGCAAATATGTAATAAAACTATATATTAAGTTCATGTTTTGATATTTGTTTTCTACAGACATAGGTCAAGATCCAAATCTCCAGATAACAAGAAAGGACTATCAGAAGAACTTAAAAAACACATAGAGTAAGTTTAGAGCTAAGAAAAATCACTTTATAGATCATTACTTGACAAAAGAAAATTACAAATGATATAGTAGAAAAGCTCTTAGTATTTCATCTATTTCAGGTTCTTTCTTATCACAGTTCATTGTTAATTTTTTTTTTTCACATTTTATACTGTCAATTTTAAATATGTAAGGAAGTAAAGTAAACAACCAAGAATTCTACTACAGAAAAAGTAGTTTCATTTGTAGTTTAAAAGTAAAGTATTATACAGATATAATATCTAAGAATTTAATAGCACTAAAGTAATTACAAAAAATGTAATAATATACACCAATAATAATAATAAAGTTGATTATTGTGAAAATTTGTTAGAAATAACATTAAGACTATTCATTGATGAATTAAGTTATTTTGACGAAAAACGAAATTTGTCAATAATATAACTTATTGAAAAATAAATATTGATCATATCAAAGAGAAGTTTGATATGAACAATAGCACTTATTGGTCATTTAATTTATGTTGAAAGTGTGTTTCTACTGTATCCTTGGGGCAAACTTTTGTTGCTAAAATTTCATTTAATATACACAGTTTTATAGCAGGTCATAAAAGCATATATTAATTTTGATCTATATAAAAAATGCACAGCTGGCTCAGTTTTATTGAGTAGCCCTCAGCAAGTAAAAAAATTGAACTGAAATTATCATAAAAGCTACCTGCACAAGATGAATGTGAAGACAAAAATAGTATGATGGATAATAAGAAATGCATGTTTTGCATATGTACAAAATTATGTGTGTGTGTATATATTAAATAAAATAGGAAAGAAACATGTTTACTCACATCAACTGAAATGGTTAAATTCAAACAATTTCAAATTTTATTTGCTCATCCAGGTTAATGACAGATAACGTTTTCGTGATGTCAATATATATATATGTATTTTAACAAAATGCATATTTTTGTTCATTAAATAAAGTACAGCTCTTGTAGTTGGAGTTTCAAGAATTGATTAAGATTAAGAAGTGATTCACCATCTTTTTCTTGGGATGTGTTTGGAAAATATAATTTTCACATTAAAAATAATGTATTGCTTTACTGTTTATTGTTTCAGATACTCTTTGATTGATCCTGAAAACATGACAGAAGAAGAAAAACGAAATATAAAATATACCAAGGTTGAGTAAGTAAAACCCAAGTCTCTTACATATTTTCTACAATAAAATTACAAAATGCACCAATTTTATAAATTTAGTTTTAGAAACAAGTTTATGTCTGCATAGCACAGGATATAATTAAAAAAAGATTTAATTTTCTCAAGCCTCGAGACTTGACTTAAATTATATCCATCACCATTGTATTTATTAATATATAATACTTTTTAACTAATAAAAAATCTGCCAAACAAGTGACAAAACTAGGTAAGTTTCACGTAAAACATTATATTTTATGTCATATTATATAATATATTTTTACTTGCAAAGAATAAAGCAACTTTCTAAAAGCTTCTACCTCTAGAAACAGCATCATAACCATAATCAATATTCTTATGAGATCAGATTTGGATTTCAAGTTATAAGTTAGAATTACATATATTTAATTATATGTATGGATTTATGACATTGAGGGTTTAATTTAAAAGTCAATTGATTGATTATTCCGACTAAAGAAGCTAAAAAAATGAAAATTAGCTATGAGGACTCCAAGATCATGCCCTTGTTTATTTGTATTTTGGCTTCCTTCACTTACTCAAATATGTAAACCCATACATATAATTAAATGTATAATTCTAACTTATAGCTTGAAATCTAGGTCTGATCTCATAAGAATATTGATTTCAGTTATGATGCTGTTTCACTTTACAGAAAAAACTGAGGGTTGAATTTAAAAGTAAATTGATTGATCATTCCAACTAAAGAAGCTGAAGAAAAGAAAAATCTTTAAATTGAAGTATATAATCATAAATCTACCAATTGTAGAAGCAATGGCAATTAGTCTCAACAGTGTACAAGAATGTAGCCAGGATGTTTTCACCAGGTAGTTGAAGCATTAAAATTGAGGGAGAAAGCAATTCTGTTAGTCTTGGGACCTTCATAATGTGACTCAATTTAACTGTACGTTTTTATATTGGATTCATAAAAATATAGTGTTTGTTTTATACTAACACAAATCTAAAAAACAGCCATTGAGGGGTACAAAATAGCAACACAATTCTTTTTTTTTTCTTGAAACAATCCCCAGGTTATTTTGGTACTAGGGCCAGATTAGAAGTTTAATCATGTGTAATATAATTTTTAGGAAGACCAAGAGGCTCATAAATCTATATTTCAAATATTACTTAAGTTCTGATAATTTTTATAGCCTTTCTCATTGAGAAAACATCAGAAGTTGAGGCATTTCTAAAATGATGTGGTATAGGAATATACCATAGGTTTCTCTCTTTCTGTAGTGTTAGTATTTATTCTTTTTTTTCTGAATATGTGCAGGTTTTCATTTAACACGTGTTAAACGTAAAAAAAGATCAACTTAAGAGTTAAGTTACCTCTGTTATTTTAAAGTTGGTAATACCTATTGTAGCCCACGGAGAACATTCGTACAACAACTTTATATCAGCAAGTCAGTAGCAGTGTCCTTCAGTGTTGTACGGGTAATTTCTAGAGGCTATGGCCCCACTTATATGGAATAAGAATGACCAGTCATGTGGTAGTGCATGTCACTCTGAGTAAATATGAGGTTTCTTCAAAGCTAGAAATCTTGCATTTAGTGAGCTTGACAGATGATCCAGGATTAGAAACATCTCAAAAAAGCAACTGTTGAATATAAAACAAATACACACTGTATTTTTATCTTAATATAAATAAAGATTGTTTTCATTGTGTCCAGTCTGTTTATTCCTTAACTTAAACTCAGCAAGTAAAAGTTTATCACTGTTCTGTAATACCATATCTTGGTAGAATATCCTGTTTGGCGGACTTATTCGATATAGCTCTAAAGTTACTTCAGTTCAGCTAAATTTACCACAATGATATTATGTGTATAAAGAGAGCTTTCAATATTCTAGAATAAGCTTTCCCAACTATAGAAACTATAAAATTTTAACTTGATTCAGTTATGATTTTGTGTTTACAAATATATACTGGTAACTACAGTTAAGAATGAAATTAAAGAAGTTTCAGTGTCATTTATATATGTGTATTTGGTATTTTATTGATCTGTTTTGTAAAAACTTATGATTTTATCCTGTGCTTGTTTTAAGTTAAACACTGTTTGTTTAAGTTTGTATAAATTTGAAATTTGTAGCCACTAATACCTATATGCTTGTTTGTTTTTTTATTGCTTTGCAGAACTGACAGTAGATTGTTCAAAATTCGCTATTCACCTTCTAGTGGTCAAGCTCACCGTCGAGTTACACGAGTGCCATCAAAGTAAGTATAAGACTTAAGAAGTGGATGAAATCATTTCAATATCTTGTTCATATTTCTCTCAAATGTACTAGATATCGGAAATTGAGTAAAAATGCTTTTATTAATAAAAAACAAAATAACAGTACGCTTCATTAAAGTTAGAATTTATCTTTTTTACCCCCCCCCCCTCCTGACTTCTAACTTTGAATGGTTATTAAGTATGCCCCAGGGGGATTCCAAAACCTCTTATTTTATTCATTTTCTTATTTTTTACAAGATTATCAACCATTTCCATTTTCCTTCTTGCTACTGCTATCAAATGACACCCACGCATTCTGTCTCTGTAAGGATAATGAAATAAGTGCCACACCTGACATGGGTACTTTTGATAGTTCATAGTAAAGATGTTTATATAGTGTAATATATGACAGTTCTGTACATTACCCAATAACAGAAAAGTTTCATGAAATATGATATATTTAAATAATTCTTTGAATTCAATAAACTTCCAGAAATTCTTCAGAACAATCGAAGAACAAAACATCAGTGGGGGATAATGACAGTCCACCACCACCTTATACAGAAAATGGTTCTATGCCTCAAGGAGCTTCTCAACCATCTTCATATACAAGTGCTTCTTATGCCATAACAACTCAACTAAGTGATAATATGATATCAGGCAACAACAGCAAAACCATCACAAATTCCAAGCCTTCCAGTGGAATGCAAAGGTATTAGCAAATATTTTTTTATATATGTGTTAGCTCCTCACTAGCTTAGCAGTGAGTCTACAGGCTTACAATGCTAAAAATCAGATTTCAAGACCCTTGGTAAGCCGAGCAGAGATAGACCATTGCATAGTTTTGTGCTTAATAAGAAGTAAATTAAACCAAATTTTAGTTTTATAGAAACTTAGATTTTGACAACTATTTGAATCTGTATGTTGAAAACACAATGCCACATGTTTTTATTTTTATACTGACACAATAGGGTCAGCTTATCTCTCCCAGTACCAGGAACGACAAGTGCTTCTTTAGTTCACAGTGGAGGAGGATTTGTACAGGCTCGGATGATTCCACCTAAAATTAATCATTCCTTTGTTCAAAACCCGGTAAGATGCTTTTTTTGTTATAATAATATTAGTTTTTATTCCTCATAATATGGTTACCTACAGTGGTGTAGTGCTAAATAAAGAATTGCCAGAACATGTTTAAACGTTCAAGGTGGGATTAATTCGAAATAGTGGCAGGTACGGTCTTCCAGCTAAAAAAAAAGTATAGGTACACCATGCCCACACATTCCACCCCACTACTCCTCTGGTTATCTATATCATTTAGAGATGGTAAAGCAGCAGTTATATAGTTTAAAGATATTTTTCATTTGAGTTTGATCTTAACCATCTTCAAGCTGAAACTGATTATACTGTCCAACTGTTGAATTATCTTACAAAATTCTTATTTTTCATGTTAATTTGATTTTTAAGTATAGCATATGGTATATTACTTCTGATGCGATAACAAATATTAGCAAATATTCTTACTTCAAGTTTTATATTATGTCATACTTTTCTTAAATTGTCTTCTGTTGCTAACACTAAATGTAGTTCTGATCATAATCTCAAGACCACCTTGTAAGGTTGTGTTGTTTAATCTTGGATGCTGTATGTTAACCTTTATAACATATGTGTGTGGAAAAACTAAAAAGAAATTTTGAAACACTTTTCAAAGGCTTACAATTTAACACATCAGTATAAATTAAAATTAAGTCACAAATTCCATAAGTAAAATACAAGTGTAGAATCTGTGACTTAAATTTCAGAAAATTCAGTAAGTTATTTATACAATCAAAGTTCTTTAGTTACTGTTAGTTTTGCCAACAAAAGTTTACCAAAACACTAGCAGATGATTAAATATGTTTCTTTTAAAAAAAAATCTTTGTTTATTTAATTTTTCATTTGACAGGATAATTACTGAACAACTTGTTTAATGAGTATTACACTAATACTATATATTTACCTTCATTGTTCAACAGCAGGCACAGTACCTAATAAGTAAACTTTACTTTTCTCTAACTAGATGGTAAAACAACTCCATTATTGACTCTTCAAAAACCCATACATTTTTATGATGTAATGATTTATATGAAAGATGTTACAACAATTTTGTAATGTCATTTCTCCTTTTTATTGTCTACTGTACACCTCTCATTATATAGATAGATGCATAAATTTATTTCTTCACTTGCTTGGTTGGTGACAATAATGGTGACTCATACTATAGTGTATATAAATATATATATATATATATATATATATATATAGTACTGGTTCTGAAGTGGTAACACTGGTGCAGATGCACTAGGCCCAATGATTCCTTAATAATATCAAAACTTTCAGTGATTGTTTGGAAAAAAAGTTTCAAAAAATCAAACATAAAAAAAGGTTCCTCTTCAATGCAAAGAAACAGTTGATAAAAGTAAAATTTTAGTTATAAAACCAGTAAAAGTGAAAGTAGATGCATTTTTGAGAATTAACATAACATATGTTTAGGGACAACAAGGGATTTATTGGTCCATCTTGGTTGTCCCGTCCTCTGAACTAAATTAAAACTTAAATAAATAAATCTACCTTAACTTCCAAGTGATTCCTGCTAAACAGCTGGTAGTTGCTTCCCCTGTGAGCTAGAAATCACATAGTTATTTCTCCTCTCATTAGACCTCCAACATGTGTGACTTAAAGTGTAAGTTAGTTAATTTAACTACCCTCCAGTGGCACAACGGTATATCTGCGGACTTACAACACTAGAATCCGGGTTTCGATTTTTGATACCCATGGTGGGCAGAGCACAGATAGCCCTTTGTGTAGCTTTGTGCCTAACTTCAAAACAACCAGTTAATTTAAACCAACACTGCTATGCGTGTATGTATATATGTGTATAATTCATAATCAAAAAAGTCAGAAATAAATTCTTATGTTTTTTTTCAAGAACAAAAAATAGCATTTGCAAATAAATAAAAAAAAAAGGTGAGCAAACATTTTTTGGCGATTACAGGAAAAAGAATATAGAGTAGGGGGCTTTACATTTTAACATCTGTGCCAGGGTCCTGCACATGCTAATTCCAGCCCTGTGTGTGCGTATATATGCTTGCAGTTAATTCAGCTATATTTTAAAAATATATCATGTTTCAGAATACTTGATCAAAACCTTGTCTATTGAACATGAAATTTTATTATATTTTAATTTTTCAGTATATCAAAACTCCTTTTAAATAAAAATCAATACTTAAAATTGTCTTAGTTAAAACCTGCCTTATCTTTCAACACAAATTTCAGTGGCCATAACTTGAATAGCTTTAACTTCTGGTTTTCACTTCATATTTGTATTAGCTTTTACATTTCTTATGTTTTAGTACAAAGTTTTTAAAATTACTAATTACCAAATAATGGAGAACAAGAGTTTTTGATGATGTTTTTAAATGGATTTTTAACAGGATTCAGACACAAAAAACAATGGAAGTATATTACAAACTGACTACAATAGCAGTCTGTCAAAATTACAGAACCTAAGGTAAGATGTTTTTTAAGAAACTAGTTTTGCATTTTTATAGTTATATTTTTAAAAAATCATATATTCTAAAAATGTATACATAATTTTCACGTAAGGCTGCAAGAAAATCAAAAATGATTGTCTTTACAGCTGTATAACCAAATGTCAATCACACAATTTATACATTGTACCATGAAAATTTCTTGATAGGTTGGAAAGCAAGGAATGAAACATACTTTCATCATTGATTTTCCAACGAAATGACTGTCCTAGTTGCCGGTCAAACCAATTAGGAAGTTGCCATCTCAGCCAAACATTGGGGCAGACTAACTACTCCATCACTGGCATTTCCTCATCTGACACCTCAGCAACAACTAGATTTGTAGTGCCAGTGTTTTTCTTTTCATCAGCTCAGATGAGATCATATTACATAATACTTTCATCACCATTGTTAACTTTCTCATTGACCTCTGACTCGTAAAGTAACCAATTTTCAAGAGGCTCATCAGTGATGTAGAGTTTCAGCTTGTCCATGTGTTTGATGTGCATACATATGTCAAATGATCACTGTAACTCGTAAATGTAACTCACTGAGCTGTCAACAGACGAGATGTGGAGCAGTCTAGCCAAAACTGAGTTATTTCTGCACTTCAGGTGCTTACCTCAACCTACCCATTCACCAGGCTTAAACTTTTGTTTTGTTGTTGTTTTGTCATAGCATTTCTTTTGACACACTGCCACTTGATCCTTTTCTTCCTGTACATATTTGTGTGGACACTGCAGTACTTCTACACTTGGTGGAGGGTTGTACCTCTGAGTCACTATTTAGGGAAAGGTGAAATTCATAAACATTTCATTCATTACACCTATATCAATTTTGAATCTCTGAAGCATAAAGACATTTTCACGTAATATTCAAATCTAATAAACTCTCTCATGCACTTTGGGTAACAGATAAAGGATTCGTTTATAAACTATAATTTAATCAAGAAATTATTAAACCACCTAACTTCAGTTATAAATTATGTATTTTTTGTTGTTTCTTGTGGTTCATTTGATTGATTTATTCCATAGAAACGTTGTTACTATAATAATACCTAAGTTTTTCTCATGCATAGAACACACAATGGAAATATACTTATCAATGGACACGTAAGCTCCACACCAGTATCTCCTTCTCCACGAGTCACTTTTCAGACACCATTGCAGTCTGTTGTTGGTAAGGTGAGTCAGATCTCAATAAATAATGAAGTAATTTCAAACTCTTCACTTTTACTTTGTTGAAGTCAGTTTATTAAGTAAACTATTTTTATGAATGAAAAATGCATTACATTTTAATTATTATATCACAAACTAGTATTGAGAGAATCAACATTAAGAAGTTTTTTAAATATTATTTGATTTGTTTGATAATATGGAAGACATTATTTTATAAAATTAAAAAAGGTAGGTAATTGTTAAATTATATTGAGATTACTGGAGTTTTTTCCTTATCTAGTCTTTCGGTCAGCCTTACCTGAGGAACCAAGCAAACTCAAGGATAACCACTGAACTTTCAAAAGCTGCAAGTGGAGACAAGTCACTGTCTGAAAATAATTTGGAAATGAGCACTGAGCTCTAACAAAATATTTTCTAGGAAACATGAATTTTTTTTGTTTTCTATATATAAAACTTATTTATCAGTGTTAAAGTAATAAATACAAACTATTTACATGATAAAGTCACAGAGAAAAGTCAAATGAAGATAAAAATTCTAGTTTCTTTTATTCCCTTGACCTTTTCTTATTTATCTAACCTTATCAATGGAACTACACAAAGGTTTTTCTCATTATACAGCTTTTATTATCTAATTTTTAAATGATACTAAGTAAAATCTGTTGATTGAGCCAAATAGAAACTGAATTTGGGCTTAAATGTAAATGTAGTACAATGTTGCAAAAGTTTCGTCTATTGTTTTGAAGTTAAATGCCTGATTTATATCGAACATTGATTCTAATTTATCAGTTAGTTTTACAGTCTGCACGGGCATTTATGTGCTGTATTAGCAATCCTTGCACCCAACTAAATGATAGTTGTAGGTTAAAAACTAACTGCAGGTTATCAGTCTGATGTATTTTAGTTTCAAGAATTATTTTGTACTTTTTTCAAGTTTTTCAAAATTTCCATTTTACTTTATGGCATATCTGTAAAGGTAATTTGTGTTTGAAAAGCAATCAAGTAAATCAGAATGTTGACCATTTACAGTAATGTTGATTAAAAACATGCATTATTTGACACCATTTGTTGTGCAGAAAGATCAGATTTTAATTATTTGCAGTTTATAAGATTTATTTATATTTGAGATTTTTAAAGACTATGTTTAAAATCAGTTTAGCATTTCAGCATGTAGAGGACAATGTTTAATGAATTACAATTGCTGATTCTTCTAGTGATGAAAATGTTAACTTAGTCAACATATTTGCGTAACTTGCCTATAATTTCTTTAAAAAACTGAAAACTTAGATCAAGTGCAATTTGAACTGATGAACTCTTGCATGTCATGCCTATGCCATAACTACCTAAGTTATTAGATTTGCATTCTTCCTTCTACATTTCTTTGATAGTTTTAGTGTTGGTTTACATAACCCTATAAATTATCTCTCATTGTCCAGCCCGACTAATGAGTTCTGATATTGAATGAAAGGCCTCTTGGGCAGTGACTTATGGGAGATAGAACACTGATCTGAAATGTTGTTTTTACACGCCTCTGATTTTGAATCCACAATGGACAAATTAAGAGGAATGTGTGAAACAAAATATCTACAGTTAATTCAACTTTTATCACAAGTTTTAGGCCTATTGGTTTCTAATGCTTCACCAGCTTTTGGAATTTAAGCCATAACTTTCAAAACATAAAATGTGTTTACGTAGTCATTATTATGCATGAATTTATAAAGTCAATGACTCAAATTAATCTGTTAGTATATGTAATAAATTTAGTTTAGACTGTTTTCAGTGTAAATTTATTTCTTCATCCAATAAAGATAAATAAGTAGGTTAACACAGATGTGTAAATGAAAATGTTATGTTTTTGTGATGTTTCATGCAGATGGTCAAGCAGTATATATACCATGTTACAGGGATGTTATAGTAGAAAAGAGTCATTGTTGGGTTAGAATATACACAAATTCTAATTAAACAATAAATACAAAGTTTTTATTTAAAAGTATATGTTAAACAATTTAACTACCTTATCTGAACTGTTTTAAACCACATCTTTCAGAAAAATATTTACTCCTATTCCAATAGGTTTGTGCTAACATAAAATAAACATATTTCCTAACTTAATTTGATTATTATATAAATGTTTTTTCATAAATAGCCATTGTTATAAAAAACCTTCTTAGTTTAAATAAATTGCCATTTTTGACGATTTTGTAAATTGAGTTTGAAAAATGACTAAATGACACATACTTAAATAAAAAGGTGTTAATTTAGAAATACACAGATTTGTTTTGAACACAAATTTTCAGAATGAGTAAAGATATTGACTTCTAAAAACTCAAGCTTAAGCTAACTATTTGTGCATTGGTAACATAGAGTAACCCATATCTCTGGAAGAATATGCTGTTCTTTATCTGTAATAAGTTTTTGATACACACCTAAATACATAATAATAATAAAGCTGTTTTTATCTCTTGTGATCATTGAAATAAAAATATACTTAAGAGGATAAAGAAGCACCTTTGTGGGAAGTTCCTAATGCATTTTCATTTCATTTATAATAAGTGAATATATTTTGTTCATTTATGTTTCTTAGTTAGACTAACACTGGTAGCGTAGTAACTTGTTCGGTATTTAAATTTACATGAATTTCATCATTCTTTGTGTATGTACAAAATGGTGTAATTAAGCACTAAAAGTAAAGAATGGCTATGTATTATTGAAGTTATCAAGATCTTATAACTTTCTGTAAACTATGTAACATTTTTGAAAGTTAACTGTATACTAGATTCAAGGTCTTATGTAACTCTTTGTATGTAACTTGAATATAAGAAAACTATTCTACCATAAATGATTTTAGTTTGTTTCATAAAGCACAAGTTGAAGATTTTTATCAAACATATTATACCTTCCTAATAGTGCCATTTAAAACTGTCATTGAGGAAGGTATAAAAAAAAAACCTTCTTAGAGTAGTAACTCATTAGTTTTATTTTTATATAAAGGTATTGTGTTTGTATGTGTCTTGTGAACTTTTTAAGGAGTTGTTGGTATTGGATTATGTGTAATTTTGCACATTGAAGTACTTGATATAAGAAAGCAGTAAACTTCATGTGCAGTGTGGCACTTGTTTTATTTTCAAGTTTATATAATAGAGCAGTTTTTGTTTGTGAGAAAATATAAAAGTAGGTCTTTATATACATAAATATAATTTGTGCCATCTTCACATCAAATTATATCCTGAGAACTTATCAACTGAAAAAAATTGAAATTTCATTCTCTGCCTTCATATTTTCCTCAATTGTTGTTCTATTTGAGTCACTTGATAAATGTATAGTTTTACTACATTTGAAACTGTCTTCAGTAATTCAAATTACTAATGTTTTGGATATTCTCACCTTGTGATATAATATTTAACATAAATAGTTTAACATAGGTTGAATGATATATAATTTTATTGCCTCTGCTTTGCAGTTTAGAAAGACCATACCTGTGATGAATTTTAATCCTTGCTTTACCGGTGATTTCACATGAAAAATATTAGTCTTTTAATAACAATTACAATTCCCAAAGAACTAAGAAATAAATTTGAATTTTAACTTTAATTGTTGCCTTTTGGTGATTATGAACAAGTAAATTTAGGTTTTAATAAGTTTGTAAGTTCTCTTAAAGATTTAACTAGTAATTAAAAGGTTCATTTTAATGTATAATCATAAATTGTTAATAAAACATCAGATACTATTACTCACCCCGTCTATTGTTACATATTGTTGGCTGATATGTACAAATTATAATATTATTCATATTGAATCATCAATTATGTGTTTGTAAGGAATACAATAAAAGCTGTATAATATTGGTACAAAACTTTTCCACAAAATGTAACATAATTTTTGTTAAGCAATAAATAAATAATGGTAAAATTAATTGTCATATTTTCACAAAAAGGAGTGTCTGCTTGATTGTTTGTGTCATTTTTGTAAAACTCTGATCTACAAACGTTAAACTAACCTATCAAAACGATCCAAAAATATTAGATTAATTGAACACCGAATATTCTAACTACACATTTATAAATTTTGAAAAAATGTGCATTCAAACTTCTACATGACAATTGCTCATATACATAGTATGCTTTATATAAAAAACATATTCTAAACATAAACGATATCAGATTATGAGCATCAATACAATATTACGTATCTGCTAGTTTGTTAATTTCCGGTAAAAATTCTTTCCGAGGTACATAAGCGATTCAAGTCCTTTCTTAATTAAACCAGTTTATTCTTTCTCGATACAAACTTTTAGTACACAGTAATTCCACAGTCAGTACGTTTCTCGTCAATTTAAACTTAACTTTTATAATACACGCTATAAATCACAGCGATTCACAAACTCGATAAGTTTGCTCTCTATGAGTGCAAAACATACACTAGCTCGAAATAGAATCGCAAGTTACCCGAAAATCACCGTAACTACTGTTCATTTTATCATCCCCTGGCTTTTCCCTGCCAGGCTTATATATTAACAAAGATCACACTCGAACTTCCCCGATAATTCGAGAAACTTGGTCAGGCATGCTCCCAGATTCATGTGACTCCCGCTGTCGTAACAATATTTATAGAAGAATACCTATAATAGCATTGTTTTCAAGATATTTAATTTCTTGAACCAGTTTCGAAAAGGCAAAACGTAACACGATAATTTATTTTTAAAGACTAACTCACTCGAAAAATTCATGCAAAATTTAATTAAAAATGGTTTTGCAAGAGTCAATCAAAAAAATTATCTTTTTTGTTGTTGTTAATGGAACAAAATATATCGTAAACTTAGGCAGTAAGTTATTATGAAGTTTGAGACACGAAAAAATTTATTTATGTAACACAGTGCATCCTGTTTGTAATGTGTAATTTTCATATGACAAGCCTCCAGTGGCACAGCGGTATGTCTGCGGACTTATAACACTAGAATCCGGGTTTCGATACCAGTGGTGGGTAGAGCACAGATAGCCCATTGCCTAGTTTTGTGCGTAATTACAAACAAACAAAATCATACGACAATTTAAATAATTATATTTATTGACGAATTAAATGAAGAAAGAATTAATATTTACAAACTGTATTGATTTTTTTGTTTGGTTTGTTTGTTATTGAATTTCGCGCAAAGCTACACGAGGGCTATCTGCGCTAGCCGTCCCTAATTTAGCAGTGTAAGAAGGCAGCTAGACATCACCACCCACCGCCAACTCTTGTGCTTCTCTTTTACCAACGAATAGTGGGATTGACCGTCACATTATAACGCCCCCACGGCTGAAAGGGCGAGCATGTTTGGTGTGACGGGGATTCGAACCCGCAGCCTGCGAGTCGAGCGCCCTAACCACCTGGCCATGCCGGGTCTAAAATAAGTTGAAGAGAAATATTGTGAATGTGAAGAGTGTGCATATTAGTAAAAAAAGTATATTCACTTTTGTAGCAAATAAGGCCTTCAATCCGAGATTCTTCCGAGCCCTCAAAAAGTATTAAATACTGGCCAATCAGATATTGTTTATTTACTTTAATTATGAGTAAAGGACAAGCTACTTAATATAATAAACAATTACCATAATTTATTCAAAACTGACGGATTCTTAGAGCAAAATTAGTATTTACGTCAGGATATACATACACAAATGTAAACGTAAGTTGACGAAATGTTCAAAAAATAATTATTTAAATGACAATTATAGTCTTCTTTTTGTACAACGATACAGACTAAAATAAGACCAATAAAAAATGTAGCTACACAATAAATCACAACAGGAGATGTTCCTTACCTAATGATCATGATTAGAGCAGGGCCTGGTGGTTAGGGTATTCGACTCGCAACCTGCGGGATCGAATTCCAGCGTCAAATATGCTTGATCTGTTAGACATGGGAACGTTATAATGTGATGGTTAACCCCACTATTCGTTGGTAAAGAGTTGGCGGTGAGTGCTGCTAGCTGGTTATCTTTCTCTAGTGGTTAGTTCAACATTAGGGATGGTAGCAGCTGTGATATGTGAGCATATTATGTTTTCTACCTTATTTAGTTATATAGAAGATCTTAAACATTTTTGGTAGCAAAACGTGTTTCAGAAAATTGTTTTGATTGCATTGCTCAAGTTACTTTGTTTCTTCATTCTCTATACTATATAATGCCTATTCTACCCGGGAGGGTATTGCAGTATCATATAAAATCCAGGTTGAAAGGATTACCACTGTAATATCCTTGCTGGTTGAATGGACTTTGTCTAAATGCAGCCAACTAATGCTGTGGGAGAACAAAGGTCACGAGATGATACTGTCAACTGAACAAAGGGAGAAGTTTATTGTTTGAATTCGGCTTTCCTTAGCCAGTTTTCTACTAGGAGAAAATCAAGTGAAGACTTTTTTCAAAAACATCGATTTTAGTTTTATGGAGATTAATCCTGAGGAAGAGAAAGCTGTGGAACTAAACACAACCTTGTAGAAGTGGCTGTCATTTCATCTGTGTAGGTATGCAGACTGTGCTTTCTATTTGTACTGTTACGACAGCGGAGGTCACGTGACGCTAGTAACACGTCATGCGCTTCTAAAAAATTCATGTCCCTTCTTGAAACGTCGAGTGTTTACTAAATATGCGGTATTCTTGTATATAAGACCGCCAGAAAGTGACGGCAACAATGTAATTGAACTGTAGACAGAGATAGAGACGGACAATTGAGTCGAGCACGTGAGTCGTTCGTTGTGAATTATAGCGTGACTGTGGAAATTAAGTGTATTGCAAAGTTGTATTCAGAAAGAATAAACCAGTTTTATTTAAGAAAGGACTTGTATCGCTAAAGTTTCTTCGGAAAGAATTTTTACGGAAAATTAACTAACGACCAGAGACGTGACAGTACCAATAAATATTTAGTTCATTTATTTACATTTGTCTCCAGATTCATTATTATACGCTTAAAGGAACTCAGTTAAGTTATCTACTAAAGAACACTCCCTTCTTCTCTATGTCGGAATGCGTGAATGTTAATGTAGAAATTGAACAATTCCAAATTATCGGAAAGGCTGAAAATGAGCAGTGGCTAAGATTAAAAGAAACATTAGCCATAAAGAACTTAGCACCTGAACTAAACAAGAAATCCAGCACCGGTGAGCTGATGTTAAAAGTGTGAGAAGAGAGAAAACAAAACTTACATGTTTGAAATTACCTTGTGATATATATATATATATATATATTGTATATAATAGTATATGTATATCCTGGCTTGTGAAAATATTAACTGAAGAGTCCTCATATACATTAAAGCCTCCCGTAAGTTCGAAGGTCATGGGCAATACTAGTTAATTTTGAATGGGTAGAAAGAGGAAAAGCAACTAGACAAAAGTTTCTATCACCAGTTCTTGAAATACCCTTGTTTTACCTTATAGTGGGATTTTACCATCGCCTTTATATTGTATCCATAGTGACAAAGTATGGAGCATATTTTTGGAATATTAGAATGAGTACCCTAATCGGTAGGTTACTCATAGCTCTTATGAAATAAAAGATATAATTATGATTGGGTTAAATATCTTTGAAGCTCTCAGTGAAATTTCACATAAAAAAATGCATGAAGGCAAATATTTATGCATAAAATTACTGATAAGAATTCCATTGGATTTTGAAATATATATTTCTAAACAACTTACGTAACGAGTTGCTTGTGGGTCCATGTCTTTGTCAATTATAGTTTTCTAATAGCATATGTTGTTGTTGCTTGTTTGTTTGTTTGTTTTTGAATTTCGCGCAAAGCTACACAAGGGCTATTTGCGCTAGCCGTTCCTAAGTTAACAGTGTAAGACTAGAGGGAGGGCAGTTAGTCACCACCACACACCGCCAACTCTTGGGTTACTATTTTACCAACGAATAGTGGGATTGACCATCAAACTATAACGGCTGAAAGGGTGAGCATGTTTGGTGTGACGAGGATATAAAATTGGCAATTTCACTTTTTGATTTTACCGTATTTTGATACAGAGTGTCACAACAAGTAAAAATACTAAATTAATCAATATGATTAATATATAGACCATACTGGTAGTGAATTGTATAAAAACTAATCAGTAATTTAAAGGTCAGTAAGGTTGAGAACATTATATTAAATTGACTTGGGAGCCTTTCCACGTTATTTCAGTGTATATCGCCACGTCCGGTCGTATTTTATCTGACAACCGTGCATCTTGACAGTATCCCTGCAGCATAGTTTCCATTGCATAAAGCTCCATCGTAAGGTTGTCATGTTCAGATATTACTACTTCTTTCTACAGATTTTCATAATTAATGTAGTGTATGCAGGCCTGACACAAAGTTCTATTTGGCCCTGGTGCAGCGACTTACAATGGGGCTCCTTAAATCTTTGTTAAAATATATATATATATACAACATAGTGAAAAATTGAAAGATTTTGGGCTTATTCTAATTGGGGCTCTAGTACAGTGGTGAGTTCTTTGCACATACACAATTAGTGCTAGTACTTATTTAGTTGTTTGAGGCATGATACGATTGAATTGATATCTTGTGGAAGAATTTTGTGTATATGTGGTTTGATTGTGTTGTAAACTGTTGCCAGGTGCACGTAAACAGTTTTTGCCACTAACCATTTTGTTTGTGGACTCTCACTTGTTACAAGACGCTGCATTTTACTTATTAAGTCTGAGGTACGACTCGTTGTAGTTTTCTCACTCTCTCTGGATGGTCCTGGTATCGAAGTTGATCCACATTTCTTTGTTTTCTAACGCTATTAAGTATAGGATAATTCCAAATCCCCAATCTGAGCACATATTTATGATTTAATTGTATGAATATTTTACTTCGGAAAGGACGGTTACATGGCCTTTCTAAAAGTCATCAATTTGCGAGGGCATAACAATACCCATAAATGCCAAGCAATATAAAATGTAGTTCTGATAAATTCCGTCCCATCACAACTTTATATCGGCTGTGTTTGTTAAGGGAATTGGTGATCTAAATATTCAAAATTGTTTTCATATAACGTACTCAACCCTGTAGAACATATATATCAACTAAAGTAGTTTCGCATAGTGAAGACTCTTCAGGTGTTTCTAGTGTTCCGTTTTAACACCAATTCGAATGCAATCAAGCAGATTATTTTGCTACAGAGATTAGTAACATATCTAGAAGAATATTTAAGTACTAATTGCTAGTGTTAAAATGTATTAAAGAGCACATATAAATAATCTTAATAATTTCAAGATTGATTTTATTTATGAGCAGCAGCTCCCAAAAAGCACTAGCTTACTTCTTGTTTGTTTGGTTATGTACAAAGATGCCTACTACAGGGCCAAACCCCGAATTTTATAGTTATAAGTTCTCAACTTAAAGCTTACCACTGAGCCACCAGGGGATACACTAGATCAGTGCTTTCAAAGTAGGGTTCACGAAACAGCTTCAGGGGACCTCAACTTATATATAAAAATATTTTCTTAAACTCCCAAACACTGGCCAAAGTAATGTTTTAGTGATAATTTTATATAGTAATAAATATGACTAAGTGACTTGACTTATGCTTGAGATATCATTTCAAAGGACAAAGTGAAATAAAATAATGCCCCAGAGCGGCTATATTTAAATTGTCTATTAAATCACTAGATGAGGTATTTAGCCACGGTGTCTAAGGTTTTAGAGAGCCTCAAGTGAAGAATGGAAACATCTGCATTAGGTTATTCTATTAATTCACATACTCTAACCCTCTCAGTTACAACATACTAGAACGGCTACAAGTGTTGCTAACACTTACATCAAAGAGTGGGCGTAGCGTTTAAATCAGCAAATTCAAAATGTTTGATTAAAAATGTTTAAAACATTCAGGTCATCAACAAGAACTCAGACAAATAAATAAATTAAACCAAAATACAAACTACAACATGCTAATTATAAGATATATTTTGGTGTTAGAAGTATCTGAAAATTTAGGGCTTGCATACAGATAAGGGTACATGCTTATTAGATCTAGTCTCTATTAATAAGCCTTACATATTATATGTAAAGAGTTTTTTAAATATTATGAGTAGGTGTGATGCTCAAAGATAAATGGCAAAGATATAAGACATATTTTTTTTATAATTCAAATTATTTATACCTAGTACGTGAGGCTTGTTAGTAAAAATGGAATGTGATATGTAATGTATTTCTCGTTATTTACCACTGACAGTCAAACAGATCTTATAATTTCTACAATGTAGTTCATACTTTCGTGATGTTTGTTTTCCTTATCGCTATGTGTCTGTGGTAATCTTTCGTTTCTTTTTTTTTTTTTTTTTTTTGATATAATAAATGTGGAATAAAATATAAACATAATTTGTTTTAAGCGTACAAAATGAATTTTAGTATAATTGTAAACAGAAGCATTTACAGACAGTTTCGCTTTAATTTTTTTATTCTATAGTGTAGATAGATGCTCTATTTTGAGGAGGCCTGAGGCACTCTTAATTTTGACGAGGGTAATGCTCTTGACTACACCATGACGTTGAAATAAGTTAACGTTTTCCTCCTATCACCAGAGGTCGTGTATAGGTAATCCAATATGGCAGGTAGTAAGATCGGTGAGATGAGGTTTGATGGCAAAGTGGCTATAGTGACAGGTGCTGGTGGAGGTAAGAACGCATCAAAATGTTAAAACATTAAAATTTTTAGTTTATACCACTTATGGGTCGTTTAAAGCAAAACATTTAGAGATGCGTTAATCAACAAAAAGTACAATAACTTGTAATTTCTAATAATAATATACTTACGACGTTAACACGGTTAAGGTTGACTTAAGTCAAGCCACTAAAGAAAGTAAGGCCTTAAAGGACTATTTTATATTATTTATAACTATGTTATTCTTATAGCATATTGTTAGTATTATTATCAGATTTATTGTAGTAGTACTAACACGTACGGCTGTATCACCATTTGTTTGTACATATCGTTTTAACACAGTGACAAAGTAGCCTGTGAATATGAATTATGATATATTCAAGATTATATTAAGTTGGCATCGTCGTCCTCAGCGGTACTTTTTAACTACTTTCTACTTATTCTTTATAGTCTATACTACGTATCAGATTAATATATTATAAACATATTACTAGCTCAAGAAAGATCAGAAGATTAGAAATACAATTATTGAAAGTGAAACACTGACAGCAAGTGTTTATGTCTATGATACAGAACAGACTTAGAGTTCGACTTTTAAATTTAATAACTGTGAAATCTATACTGTAGTATATATGTTTCATGAATAAAGTTAACAGTAACAAACTGCTAATGTGCTGGAAATACATCCCATTTAATATCATGAAATAAATTGATACTGGGTAATGTTTGAAGCTTAATGTTTAAGTTTTTATGTAATCCATTGCTAATGTTGTTTTCAAACAAAAATAGTTGAAGAATTAGCTAGAAGCCTTATACTGTAAAACTTTGTAATATAATATAAAAGTTGATTTTTAAAATTTGTGTATCTGATCAGGGTAAAACTAGTAACACTACAATTTTTTTCCATAATGGACTTGGCGGGTTTACATGTATCTAGGTATGTGATCGAAATAATACATAGAATGTGGTGCTACCTATTGAATGGCACCAAAAATAAATATCCACAAACAAATTTTTACACTTTGGATATTAAAGATTCAGATAATTAGAAATATAACTACGGTATGTGCAACAACCATTTCTTTATCACCAATCAAAATTTTAAATAAAACTACTCTCCTCAAAACAATAACATGACTTTCACTAGGACTTTACCTGAAGGTTTTATTTTATCTTTATTGATGTAATTTGTAAATATAGTATTAAAAAAATGGAGTTCTTTAAAAAACTTATTTTTTCAATAAAGGGTACCACTTTTAATAAATAACAACATTACAGTTTGGGTGCTACTATAGCATGAGGTCTACCGCCATATGTCGCCTACCCAAGTGCAGCCTGAGGTCTATCGCATCCAAATCCATCAAGAACGTGATCTGTCCACGTGACCTGCCTATATAAAAGGAGGCAACCTTTAATATAAATTTAATTAGAAAACCAATTATCTATTTAAGTCATTCCTAGGATATGTACAAATTAAGTGTTTATCGCTAAAATAAATGTATGGAAATGTGTGATATCCATGAGGGATGGATAATGCAGCGGTAGACCTCGCGCTATAGTACTAACGGGAGGTAGACCTCATGCTATAGTGTGGTAGACCTCACGCTATAGTAGCACCACAGTTTATATCAGCACAATCAGAACACTTTTCTCGTGTAGTACTTCCCAGAAAAATACTTTTTTAGAAAATCTTCATTTTTTCTAAATTTGTTTCAATGAAGCCACCATTAGGGCAGCATTTCTGCTAGTAAATAAAAATGTTTACAGTCCTTTACTTATTTTATAACAACGTAGAGGAATTCCTGTGGAACTCTAAACAACAACAAAACTTACATTTAGATAATCTAAGTTTTAAATCAATAAAATATTCAACAAATATATATTCTATAGTGTCACTTGTTTTTAGTAACAGTACTTTTCATGTGTAAGCAATACCTGACAATTTGTGGTTCATTGAAATTCACCTCTCATAACAAAAAGAAGTTCCTACACTACTGCACCAGACTTGATAAAATATTTAACTTATAATAAAAGAATATAAAAAAAAAAGAATAGTGTAACATAAGGTCAATCAACCTACTTATGCCATCAAACCTACAAAAACAATATCCAAAGTATCAAAGCCAAATAAATATAATATTTATCTTCCATATACCTATCCAACAAAAGATTAAAAAATAAACTAAAAGCACAAACCATATCTTCTGACAAATCATTCCATGATATACTAATAATGTAATGTTTTTAACTATCTAAATACATCCATGAATGCCATGATTTAAGACATAATAAAAAAGTGAATTCATGCTTTTAAGTATAAATATGTAAAATAGTTATTTTTTTGTATTGGTGAAATATTGTTGTCATTGAATGAAAAAAGGTTTGGTGAATTAAACTTTTCTATTGATTCAAACATGATTTTTCTGTTTCTAAAACTCATTAGACATGTTAGATATTTTTTTCAGCTATAGTATTTTAGACCATAAATATGGACTCTCTAGAAAAAATTTTGGAAAAGTAGTTAATAAATTTTAAGATGAGAAGAAAATGAAGCAGTAATTGAATTTTATCTCTCTCAGATTTTGAAGAAGAGGAATATTAGCTAAGTTTTTAAATTGGTTAGGACATTGTGACCAGTCTTTTTTTTTTTAGTATTGTAATAACAACATTACTATAGAAACTTCAGTATAGAAATTTTTTTAGTTCAGAACATATGTTTTGAGAATATAAAGTCTCTTATTCCTGAGGCATAATTTTGAGCACAAAATTAGAAACTTGACATTTACTGACTGTAATGAGTACTTTGAAAGATTGTTGTGTCACAAAGATGTTTTAAGTATCAAATGTTTAAATTAATATATCTTTTATTTATCATTTTCACAGTTACTATGAGAACTCTGTTTTATGGTGTTTCTTGTTTTGTTATTTGATGTTGTTAGAATTATAATGAATGGTTAAATGTTTTCCTTATCTAGGTTTAGGTCGAGAATATGCTATCAGTCTGGCTGATAGAGGAGCTTCAGTTGTGGGTAAGTTTTAGTAGTACTTTGTTTTATTTTATTAGTTTTGTGAGTGCTTTGATTAACAGTGGTGTGGACCTGTGCAAAACTACCAGTTTTATGCATCAAGAAAATCAGACTATTTAAGAAGTTGAGGTTAATGTGTACTTACATGTAACATTATAATTCAAAACTTACAATGTATGATTGTGACATGTTTATAAAAAAAAAACAAATTATCTTGCTTTAAAGATGTTAATAATAAAAGTTCTTCAGTCTCATATGTCTGATTGATTGGGATGCAATAATTTTGTACCAAAGATGACAAAAAGTAAAAATATTTAGTTTTAAAATACTCCCTTTATTACAATGTATACTATGTTAATTATATTGCATGATTTTATTAAAAATAAGGTTCTGCATGTTGTATTGAAATGCGTGAATTTGGATCATAGTTTCAGCTTGTAGAAGGAAAGGTTTTATAGAGAAAGATATTGAATTTTAGTGAAGGGTGTAAAAATGTAGATGATGTAGAGGTGATAATTGTCTTGTTATCTGAGAACTACAATAACAAGCTTTGATTAGTTATATAAAGGAGTTAAAGGTTAAGTTAGAGACTTTTATCAAGTACATGTCATGTTAAGAGAGCTTGAATTGCACTTGTGAAATTATTACAACAATCACATTGTTTTGAAAAAACCTGTCCACTTGTAATTTTATTTCTGTCATTTATTGGTACTTTACAAATACTGGTTGTCTCAAAATACAGAAAAACTGCAAAATTATACATGAATATGTCAGTAAAGTTTTGGCAGTTAAATATTTATTCCTGTAAAAAATATTTTTTGGAAATTATAAATGTATGTGCTTAAAATTTATTAAATTAGTAGTATCTATTTGACATTTTTAATAATAATTTTCAGTTAACTTTTATACCATTATGAAGTATTTGCTTAATCCTGTGATAATTCATTTTTTTAGACATTGATTAATATTACAGTGTTTATAAAATATTATCATTGTTTTCCCTAAAATAATATTTCTTCCCTTTATGTTTTACAATACATCAGATTTTAAAATCCTGACTACCAAGTATTTCTATATTTTAATCCTAGATTTATATATATATGAGATATTAGATCATTCATTCATTCATTGTGTTCAAAATTCTCTTATGTGCTTACTTATCACTTATTATGGAAATGTTGGAAATAATACAAATTAGAATCATTCTGTACTATGAAGTAATGAAAGCTCTGATCTACATAATATATATGACACTGTACATATACTAACAAAATCACATAAAATGTAGATAATAATATAATACATTTTTGTTACAAGCTTCCAGCCTTCCATCCATAGAGGAAAGATTATTTAAAAATAGTTTTCTGTGGTATTTGCTGGTACAAATTAACTAAGTAATACACAGTCACAAAATTCAAGTATAATCAGGAAAGAACCTTGTATATTTTTAGTGAATGACCTTGGAGGAACTAGAAGTGGACAAGGAAAAAATAATGCTGCTGCTGACAAGGTTGTGCAGGAGATTATATCCAAAGGAGGAAAAGCTGTAGCTGACTACAGTAACTGTGCTTTTATTGTTTTTGTTATAATTAAAATATCACTTTTCATTTATCAACGCCTTTTTACTATACTTCATAAAAATAAGCTTTTTTTTAATACATATTCTTGTTCATAGTATGCCTATCTGCATACTGTTATGATTTTCTTTATATTCAGTTGGATAGGTAAAGTGTATGTTTATAGTATGAGGAAAAATACTAGAAATTTTTCATGTGAATTAGATATAATATTGAAGCTACTTTTTTGTTCAAAGTATTCTTATATAATTGACAATACTGTAATAACGCAAATAAAATTCCTTTAGAAATATGACTTCGTTCTTTATTGCATAAAGCAACATAAACCTTCATATTAAAAGCTAAAACTTGACAATAAAATAATTTATTTACTCCCCCCCAAAAAAAAGAAGTAATTTTTCATGTGTATAAATATAGTTTTCCTAATAAGTAACTACACTGGTTATTTTGGTTATTTTTTAAACCAGATTCTGTTGAAGAAGGAGAAAAAATAATCCAAACAGCAATAAGCAACTTTGGTCGTATTGGTGAGATAATTTTTTTTGCTCTTAAAATGTATCGCATTTCCTTTTTTTACCACCCATTTTGGCAGTTACTGTCTTTTTAGATGCCTAAAAAAACAATGACAGTGTATATAGATTAGTAATAGTGAATGATTTTAGGTCAATATAAAAATAGTTTAGTAAATTTTTTAGGAAAAAAGCAGATTTATTTAAACAATTTTTTAGAAGGGATACTAATTTTTTGAGTATTTCTAAGGAGAATACTAATTAAGTTGAATAAATTTTTAGGGGGGATACAAATTTTGCTAAGTAATGTTTTAAGAGTGATTAAAATAAGGTGAATAGTAGTTTAAAAATATATTCAAAACATTTATGGTGAAAATCTCCCTTATGTGGGAATTTCAGATCTCAGTTTTGTCAAACTAAAATAGTAGATAATGTATTTTTAAGATTTTTAGTACTAAAATATAATTAAAAACAAAAATTATAAGATTTCAATAAAGGTCTTGATAAGTTAGGAATGAATACCTATTCTGATACTGTAAAAAATTATTCATTGATTATTTTTATAGCCAAGAATTGTAAATTGATTGTGGTAATATGATGAATAAATTCTATTTATTTATAATAATAAAAAAGTTGTGTGTCTGTGTGTGTTGTGACTGCCATAGCTCCAAGAAGAAAGAACCTGGAGACCTGAAACCTTGCACTCATACTAAGGGGGTAATGAGGGTGTACATCTGGGTATTCTTTTTTAGACTTAATTCAAAAACATTTTGGTCAAATTTTTTGCCCTTAAGCCCCATAATTCTGCTTCCTGAAGGTCTATAGAAAAGTATCATATTTTTTTTCTAATTCTCAATTACTGAGTGAACAATATGTGAAGGTTTTCTTCCAAATACTGTTATAAAAGAATAAAATGGTAAAAAAATATGCCATCTGACTTGCCATTTCAATTCAAGCAGCTCCAGTTTTGCCATGAGCATCAACAAGATGCAGGGGCAGTGACTGAAGGTTGTTGGTCTCAACCTGAAAAGCCCATGCTTTTCTCATGGCTAACCTTATGTTCATTGCTCCAGGGTTGGTGATGGCAAGAGCCTTTTCATCTTGGCACCAGAAGGGAAAACAACCAACAATGTCTGTTTTTATGATTTCTATAGGTTTCTGGGAAAATAAAATCTTTGAAAAGATTTTTGGTTGTATCTCATATCTAAAATACATTAAAAATATACAAAAACACAGACAGTCAACCAGTAAAATATTGATCTAATAACCCGAGTAAAGCTGGGTATATATATATATATATATGTATATACATTGTATGTGTGTGTGTGTGTGTGTGTATGTACACAAAGAAAAATAAAAAACTTACATGAATATTTGTTGAGTAGCTTGATACATAACTTTTGCCCATAACAGTGGTTTCTATGTTTTCATGGATAGTATTAGAATTTTCCTAAAGTTAAGTTCTAAACTTAATGTCACAGTTCTAAGAACAAAAAAAGGACATTCATTTCACTTGTGTTTTTTGTGTATAAATTAAGGCTTAACAGGAATATGTAGCTAATGAAAAAAAAAATTGATGCACCTGATAGTTTTAGATTTTATTTGTTTGAAAATATCCTCATTTAATCAGCACACAAATTAAACTCTAAGCTTAAGTTTTATTGAAGAAATAAAGTAAAAAGTATGAATTTTATTTGTAACTTTAAAATAATTCTTTGGACAATTTTTATAGATATACTCGTAAATAATGCTGGAATTTTGAGGGACAAGTCATTTCTAAAACTTTCTGTAGAAGACTGGAGTAAGTATATATGGCATTTTTTATACAGTTAATGATGTTATCCAAAGTAAGAAACTATTATTACCTTCAGAGAATGTTTGTTTTGAACATGCAGTATTTCATTTTGCAACTGTGCACAGAAACGTTTGGTTTTAAAACAAAAGTTCCACAGAGTTATAAAATCATTTTTTTATTTCTTTGAATTATGTCTCTCATACTCCATCTACCAAATGTCATAGATAACTCTCTTGTAATTTTAGCTGGAACATTTTACTTTTTGGTGTGTTTCTCTGTAGGTGAATGAAAGAATATTATTTAAAATGATTAATTTGAAATGTCTTTATAATTTAAATTAAGAGTTGTATTTCAGAAATGAAAAATATGTATTTTTATACCATTTATTTAAATTCTTTTTAGGTGAGGTATGGAAATTAAAATTTTGTCATTCAATTTTTTATCCTCGCATATTGACTATTTTTGCGTACCAAACACAGACTAGCAGTAAGCTAGATTCAGGATTGGCAATAATAAAAGTGAAGTCCCCTAGTGGGGTCAGTGGAACATTTACAGAATTTACAATGCCAAAATCTTGGGTTTGATTCCCCATGATAGACAGAGTGCAGATAGCCTATTTTGTAGCTTTGCACTAAAAAATACAAACAAACAATAAAAATGAAAGTTGTTAAGCTTTGTATAATGTATACAATCAAGGGCATCTAAAGCTGGAAATAAAAATAAAAGTCCCTTGTTGAACTGAACAAACCAAAAGTAAATAACAAAGGCAACAAAGAAAAACCTTAAAAAAATGTATTTAAACTAAATAGACATTCAGATGTTTAGATATAAAGGAGGTAATAAGACTTTGTTTTGTTTTTATATTTCTTATATTAACATTTCTCCACTTCAGAAACTTTCAATACGAAAGATTTTGGACAATGTCCTAACACCCAGAGCTTATTTTTAATGTTTAGGAATCTTTGACCTCTCAAAAAAACGCATCAGTTCTGGTAGGTTCTAGCTCATCAAAACTATGTACAACATTAACCATATCATGCCCATTTGTGGTTATATTCAAAATTTAATTAAACTACTTTATTGTCTTTTACAAATTGCCAATAATTCTCTTGGACATTTTCTGTTACATCATTTATAACAAATAGAAAGACCAACTTTTATTTCACCGAATGACATATAATGCTACATTCTTAGTTATTTTGCCTACAGATTGAAAGCTGCTCTCGCCAAGTTCAGATCGAATAACTAAAGGAAATATTTTAAGGCACTTATGTCTTGGTTAGAATGCCAGTTAAATCATAATAGTTGTAGGACATTGTTTGCTTTGTAAATGTTATTATTCTGTGTCCTTATGTGCATTATTCAAATACGTAAAACTTATTTGATGTACTAGTATCATCATTAGAAAGAAAAGTAGGTTTAAGTTTCATCAGTGGGCCGAGAACAAAAAATGAGGCCAAACATAAATACTAAGTATCTTGTTTTTATGGGTTTTTTATTTATTGTTATAGTAATAACTAAAATGTAAAAATTAGAAGCTAAATTAGATTAAGTAAGATAATGAAAATAATAAAAATAAGAACATTTCTCCACAAGGTATACTTGCAAGTAGCTCATACATTACCTCATTCAATACAGTAATTTGATCTATGTATTTGCCAAGTGATATACAGCTTGTATCACAGAATTATTAGTTAGACACAGCTCAAATGGCATTAAAACAATAAAATGTAGAGACTTTAATAGGCTGTTACGACCATTAAGCTCTTTAGGATAAACAGTTGTAGTTTTCTTTTACAATCTGCAGTCCTTCTAGAAAGAAAAAAAAAAGGGTAATTTAGATTTATTTATTGATTTTATATTTGTGATGGTTACAATATCGATCAAATTGACTGAGTCAGTACAAAGGTAAGGTAGCAAGTAATAAGTTATGTAAGTGAAACTTCAAAACTGTAAGGACTGTTTAACAGTATGACCCAATATAACACACAACTCTTTAATAAAAAAAATTAATTAAAAACCTCATTTTTTTGTGTACAAAAGCATTCCAAATTTTGTGAAGATACATGTACCACATTAAAAGCTATAGTATGGATACTTTCATGGTTACCTGGTTTTTGCAAAGTCAGTCAAGATGACTAAGGCTGTAAGAAAAAAGTTAAATCAAAGTAATAATAAAATATATATACATATTTGGCCAAAATATTGTGTAATATGCCATGGTGACATCCATATAATGGAAATTCTTACATGCCATACAGTTTCTAAATAAATAAAAAAATATACATCTCTTAGCTCTTGAGCTAACAGAAAAATTACATATAGAAGGAAAAAAAATTCATTAGATATTAATCATTTGTGAAGTATGGAAGAAAGTTTCTTCACATTTTAACAAAATATGTTACAAAAATTTGCTTTTGAAATTCTGTGTGAAATTAACCTTATTTTGGTAGTATCTGTGTTTTTTAGATAAGGTCTTGGAGATAAATGATAGTTAGATGTAGGTGCTATAGATGTTTGTTTATAATGATATAGTTAATATATGATTACTAGGTTTCAAATATCTGAACTTATTCAAGCTGCTAATATCCATTTTTCTTTTTTTATATATAAATTCTTAGTTTAAAAATTTCATTTTTTCTTATAATGCCATTTTTTTTTTCCATTCCAAAACAGATATTGTTTTAAAAGTTCACTTACAAGGATCTTTTCTGGTAACCAAGGCAGCATGGCCATACTTAAGAGAACAGAAGTATGGCAGGTACGTTTTTATCATATTCTTGTTTTTATCCCCTGGAAATAAAAAGAAATGAGCTGGAAGTTAGTGATGTCCAAAAGGATCATTTTATATTTCAACTTGCATAGGTGTACTGCAAAAAGATTATTCAAATTGTGTGAAGTATGAGAATTAGATAAAAACCACTGTTATATTTTATTAATTTAACATACCCATGCACACACACACACTGACCAAAATATTAGTTACTCCTACTTATAGATTAAACTGGTCCTCATTTCATATTTATACAAAGTAGATATCTACATACACACAGTTAAAGCAAGTGTCCCAGTAAGGTATATTTAGACATTTCTTACAGATGATACTGATGGGGATTTGTTTGGGATTCTGTAGTAATATCGCTGTATTTAAGTTTAAAAATATCAGAGGTTAAACTCCCTACTTTCACCTGTAACAATCAGTAGTGTAGGTAGTGCCTGCACTGTGAAAGAGAGATGATGTTATTGTTTCTGTGTATAATGTCTTCCTCTCTCTCTGTCTAGAAAATATTTTTTTCTCAAGAGAATATCTTCAGGACATCCAGAAATGTACTATTTGCACTATTTTTGACTTGTTGTATTGTTGTAAATAAAGATTGATTTTACTGTGTTTAATCTTTCTTTCAGCAATTCAGTTTTAAATCCTTAAACATATTCTGGGAAACCTCTTGCTACTAATCGAGTTAGTCTTGTCTGTTTGAGAACATATGAACCTGAGAATAACACACACCCCACCATAATATTGTATATGAAAACTCTTGGAAATATTCAAGAAAAGAGCAAATACATTATACGTTTTTGTACATGGCAAATGTAATTTTGCATTTTTATTTGATATGACTTATGTTAGACTCTTTTTATATAATTAAATTTTTGTGTCAAAATAAAGATAAATAACAAATATATAGAACCGATGTAAAAAAAAAATAATGTTTTCACTTGCCCTTCAATTTACACTACTTACGCTTAAAATAATTTCTTAATTGATGGTTAATTGTTTTTTTAGTACATTATGAAAGGCTCTGGCTTGCTGTAAAATTGTAATTTCTTTGCCTTTACTGTGATGATTAAATGTTTGAATAAAGTAACCAATGACAAAATGAATTACTATTAAATAGTCTGTTTTTTGTTTTGTTTTTCAGGATTATTATGACATCTTCTGGTGCAGGGATTTATGGGAATTTTGGGCAAGCTAATTATAGTGCAGGTATTTAATGCTTACAAACCATCATCTTGTTATAAGAATGATAAATGGTTTATGATTATATTTTGTATTATTATAATACGTGATATATATACATCCTCATTGTAAACATGTTTTAAACAGCTTTGGTTACATTATATATGCTAAATATATTGCTTAAAAATTTTAAATTAGAGAATGTGGTTCATCTTACACAGTTCAGGATGCTTCTATCTGCTTGTCCCTATAGTTGATATATGGGGCAGGGTGTGGCATAATAGTTAATATGCAAGACTGTGAATCTGAGGGTCCATAGTTTGTGACCCATTGTCTTAATATTGAACTTTGCACATTGGGTCATGGGTGCATTATAAGATTGATCATCAGATCCAATTATTAGAGTAGCGTAAGAATTGGTAGTGGGTGCTGTTGACTATCTATTTTTCCTCTAGTCTATCAATTAAAAGTTAGGGATGGTTAGTGTATACAGTTGTTTTTATAGCTTTGCATGAATATCATAAACAAATACACAGACTTACCAAGATGAATGTATTAAAGATGTTTCTGTATTTTCCAGCTCATACAAGACTATACTTTTATATAAAATATATTTCATACAAACAGAATATAAGCAGTTCAAAAAATAATAAAAACATTTTTTACTTATATACCCAAACCATTTTATTTATTGAAGAAAAGGTAACCAAGACAGAAAATAGTTATACTATATTTTATGATATTTAACTAATCTGTTAAAATTTTTATTTCCTCTAGCAAAGTTAGGCTTGTTGGGTTTAAGCAATACCTTGGCTGTTGAAGGTAAAAAATATGGGATCCACTGCAATACTATCATTCCACTGGCAGGGTCTCGTCTAACCGAAGACATACTACCATCTGGTAATTTGTTTTTATAGCAGTGAATAACAGATTCTGGTAACATACATGTCTGATTAATTGTGATAAATATTTATCATGAAACCTTTAAATTGTAATGAAAATTAAAGATGTAGTTTTTGATATGGAAGGAGTCTTCAAAAAATTTATTATTAGAAAATTTTATAAGGGCATTTTCAGATTTCAGATGTAAAAATATTAGTAACTGTAAATAGATAGGTATCAGTACAAATAACATATATTTTTTACATCATTTGAACCTAGCCATAGCTGTTAATAAACTGATATCAAACATATTTTAAATATAGTTTAGAATCATTTTGTCTGTATCTGTATTACACTTGTTTGTTTATGCATAGAAGTCAACAGCTTTTTGTAAAAAAAAAACATTATTTACAAAATTATTTGATCTTATGCAAATCTGAGAGATTAGCCCAATGCACTAAGATGAAGTTGTAAATCTTCAGCATTGAGTGAAGTATGGTTAATGTGATGATTAGGTTTACATTAACTTTCCTTACAGATCATATTAATAGATATCTATTTGTAATTCTATAGTATCACTGTATTTAAGTTTGAAAATATCAGGGACTAAACTCTCCATACTTCCATCTGCTACAATCAGTGATATAGGTAGCACCTGCACTTTGAGAGAAATGATGTTATTATACAACATATTGTATTTATAAATTAAGTTTTTCTGACAGTATGTATTTTGTCATGCCCAGCACGTCATGTTCTCCAAAACATACTTTTAATTACAATATATATATCAGTGATTGGGAACCCATGGTTCCCTAGTCTCCACTGATTTTGTTTGTTGTTTGGGCATGGTACAAATAGTAACCTATTAGAATTATGTTTCCAAAGACCCTTTGAATTTTTGGTTAGGTTCTGTTTTTCCATGAGTTTGAAAAGATCAGGCCTTTCTAGTGTGAAAAGAATTGAATTAACAGTCATCGACAAACCATGGTCCATATTCATATTTTCTGTATCCTTAGCCTGCAAATAGAAGTTATGACAGTAAGACCATGAAATTTCTCACACTTGCATATTATTTATTTATCATTAGTTGTCTTTTTTGCATTTTCCCTGTTCTAGCAGAAATGTTCTTATGGAAACAAAGACTTGGTCAAAACCAAAAAAATACACATCTTGAATGATATATCTAAATTACCCCTCAAACAAATTTAAAAAAAATATTTTGTTTACCACTGTTATCATGGCTTCTATCCAACTCAGAAAATTCTGTTAAAACTATTTTAAACTCTATCAATTAACATTTACTGAGGTTAATCTCATTTGATAAGAATGATATTCCAGGTTCTTGGTTGCTCGTTTAATTATTTTTCCCCATCTTTGGTGGCCACAATTGTGATATTTCATTGTAAATAAGTTTTTCTTGAAGAACATTTGTCAATCTTAGACCACACATCTCGACAAGCTTTCCAAAAATCCTCCAATGTGCGTAAGTATTGACTTCTAAGACTGTATTTAAGCAAAGGCACAAATAGCCACCAGAGCTGTATCAGGGGGGCTTTAACAGTTAAGTGGTCAAATAGACTTGCTCGTGTTGTTTTTTTTAGCTATCTTTGTCTTAAAAACAGCCATTGATTTTGGGGTGTGGCTGAAGCTTATGAAATTTTGTTTTTTGAGCTTTCACTTATTTCAAATCTTTGTTTATAATGTTGTTAACAGTGCCAGGAGATATGCCAAGCTTCATTCCAATAACTCTTAATTTGAGGTTTCTTCAATGTAATCATAGCTTTCATAGTGCAGATGAGGACTCTGAGATTGGTTTTAATGATGTTTTGGAGCTATTTATTATTCTAGGTGTTCAGCTGTTGAGTTTTTTCTGCTTCTGTAGAGAATATTGAAAACTCCTTTCTTTGAAACATATCTTTTTGTCTGTACATCATTCAACAATTTTCGTGCACAAATATTCTTCCTTGAAAAGTCTGAGACCATAACTACCATGTACATAAATCTACCATGTACTTTTGATTGTTCAGAGATTTGCCGTGAACCATGTTGCCTATGGTGCAACTACTTGCATCTATGGTAGTATGCCAATGCATTACCATATGCAAAATTGTGTATTTAAAGTGAAATTAATTCTCTTTGGTTTTGTAAAACATGTAAAGATTTATTGTAAATAACAATATCATGCTAGCTAATGATAACAACCCATTAATACAAAGTGGTGAAGATATAAAACTTGTATTCCTACAGAACTTTTTGATAAGTTAAAACCAGAATATGTGAGCCCTCTGGTTGTTTGGCTGTGTCATGAGAGTTGCCCAGAAACAGGTGGAGTGTTTGAGGCTGCAGGAAGTTGGATAGGAAAATGTAAGTTATAAAGTATTGTAAAAAACTACAGCTCCAAATCATTCACTTTGACAATGATAAAATATATCATTCACCTTATAGCAAGTATGAATCATGTTAAAGCTTTTGTTTCAGTTTCTAGAACTTAGGGAAGAGTTATAAGCACTTATTGTTATATTTATGAACATCAGTAATTTATTGCTTTGTAAAATTTTGAAATGTTTTCCCTATTCTACCTATTAGCATATTAGGTTAAAGATTAGTTTTGTGCTTTTTTTTTTCCATGTCTAATAAACTCATCAATAAAAGTTTCCTTTTTGTGAGTTGTTAAATATTGTCTTATTCGCTTTCTTAACAAATAACACAGCCAACGTGTATGTTGGTGTAACCTACAAGATTAACAAACAACACAGCCAACGTGTATGTTAGTTTAACTTATAAGATTAACAGACAATTCAACCAATGTGTATGTTAGTCTAACCTACAAGTGTAACAAACAACACAGCCAATGTGTATGTTAGTTTAACTTACAAGATTAACAAACAACACAGCCAACGTGTATGTTAGTTTAACTTACAAGATTAACAGACAATTCAACCAATGTGTATGTTAGTTTAACTTACAAGATTAACAAACAACACAGCCAACGTGTATGTTAGTTTAACTTACAAGATTAACAGACAATTCAACCAATGTGTATGTTAGTCTAACCTACAAGATTAACAGACAACTCAACCAACGTGTATGTATGTAAGTTGCTGTACTAAACTACTCTGAAGTTAATTTTATAGCAACTATATGTAGCTTTGTAAGAAATCATGTGATTTTACAGTAGGTGGAAAAATATTTTTAAAAATGATTTAACAAATGTTTTCATTGTTCATTTTTTGCAGATCAGTGGCAGAGATCTGTAGGAAAAGCTTATCTTCCAGCCAATGAAAAACTTACTGCAGAAAGTAGTAAGCAAATTTTTTAAAATGAAATTTGTATCACTGTTGTATAATCTTTTTGTAAATTGGTGAATATGAAGAAATGAAAAAGTAGTTTTTGTTAATGCTGAAATTTTCAATGTATGGTTAAGTTGTGTTTTTCCATGAGTATGAAAAGATCAGGTTATTATACTGTGAAAAGGATTGATTTAATAACCATTGACAAAGTTTTGAACCATGGTCCATATTCACATGAATGAAGACCTTTTCTCAATCCTTAGTCTTTAAATATGAGTTATGACAATAACACGATGCAATTTTTCACACCTGCTCATTATGTGTTTAACATTAGTTGTTTTCGTTGTACTAATTTCTTTTTACACATTAGTGTCTCATTACTGTACCAATTTTCAGTGTTTTTATTAATACTAATTCAAAAATGTGTATTAAGTTACAGTCTCATAGTACTGATGTTACTATTCCCATCTGCATTCTTAGAAGAAAGATCAAGGAAAATATGTTTGAACATAACTACATTAGATTAGGAAATGTAACTGTTAAGCTGATTTGATTACTAGTTAAATGTTTGTTACTTCTTTGGATATATGTTATAAATATGTATTTTTCTGAACTTTTAAGAGTTAAGATGGTATCTCTTATAAGTGATAGTTTATGTGATCAAATATTTTGTTTAGATAAAATGTACATATTTTCTCATTAATCAGTTCAGATTCCTTTATTTTTTGGCTAATTTAATCTTACTTAAAAGATAGAGTTAGTTCATTTATAAAATGTATGGAATAACTATTAATATGGATATCATCTTTACAGTTCGAGATAACTGGAACTTGATTACAGACATGAGTGACTGTAACACTCCTGCCAGTGTTCAGGGTAAGCGAGAAAATATATCTTCATGTAACATGTTGATTTGAGCTTTAAATGAAAAAAAAAGCATTGTCAAGGTAGTTGAAGGTCTTAAAAAATTTCAATGAGTTTTTTTCTTCTTTAATTATTTGCAACACTCGCATAAGATTATATGCAGCTGAATAGAAATATTTTCATTTGAATTTTTGTTTTGTTTTCTCATCAAATTTTTAAGTTTTAAATCCTTGGTTTTAAACCTTCATAGTAAAATTCTTAGTCATATTATTTTCATATTTGTTTTCCTAGAGCAAATGGGACTTTTAGTAGAAGCTCTGACTGGTAGTGTCACTGACCGAAGAAAACAAACACAATCCCAGCAGCCAAACAAAGATAATGAGGGTTACAGCTATTCTTATAATGATGTCATTTTATATGCCTTGGGAGGTAAGTTCAAACACATATAGTGAGATTCTTATTGTAACTATGAAAATGCAACAATGTTTGCAGTGAGGAAGATAATGAAAACTAAGTATATGTACAAAAAAACATCCTGCAAGGGACAAGATTTTTGTTTTTTTTTATGCAAAATGTTTGTTAGTCTAAATTTTTCGATTTCATTTGTGCTTTAATTTTCACAAAATGTATGATGTTTCAATAAAGTTTTTCCCTCCATAATATCAGATGAGAAAAAAATTAACTCTTTCTTCTGGTTAATAGTGGCTTCTGGTAATACTACCCTTATTTAATCCTTAGGCTAGACAAAGTATGTTTAAAGCCCTGGACTTAGTTTATAGTTATGGTGTTTTAATATGTTTCTTATAGCTAGATACCCTACACATAACACTGTTGGCCAATTGACAAAGAAAAGTAGTTGTCTGAAAGGGCTTTGTTTGTACCTTCATATACATTAGGTCTATTTCCTCTATAAAAAAAATTGCTCTCTCCCTTATACATAAGTGGAAAGTATGCAGTGGTTGTTTGAAAGATTTAAATATTATTATTAGTCAGTTTGTTCAGAGTTGTTTAACTAAAAATTTTGTTGGGTACAAAGTGGACTTGGAAGTTAATAGTATGTTGTTATAATGTTATTAATCACTAAAGAGATATAAGAAATGGTAGATTAAAAGTTGTATTCAATTACTGAAAAGTTGACTTAAAAATATTGACTGCTTACACTTAAACTGAACTGAGACATACACAAGGTCCCTCATTGTAGTTATAATTTGATGAAGAGAAATTGACTGGGTTTTGTTTGTTTGTTTGCATAGCTCTGTGATTATCATTAAAAAGTGCAGACATTAAATCTACTGGAATTTCATTACTGGGCTAAATTGTAGGATAAAAGTCTCCCCAAACCAGCCTTATATATACATTCCATTTTTCTAGAGTAGAATCACTCCTAGTGGAAGGAATTATTAATGAACAAATATATCATTGTTATACCTAACTTGTTGTACCAAGCATGGTCCAGTGATTTGCATGCAATGGTTTGTTCTATTATTATGAAAAAAACTTTCATTCCACACTGGACAATTAGCCTTCATGTTACTTTTCCATTCAGGTGGCCATCTTATTTTGTGTGCTGGTCAAATAAAAATTCACTTATTCTGGTCATTTGATTGATAGGTTTTTTTCAGTTTCTTTTCCTATTCCTCAGAGGTTCAGAAAATAAGCAACAATTGTTCTTCTGCAAGTCCATTTGTTAGTAACCTCTACAGAATGGTTCCAACCTTTTTCAAACTGAGGACCAGCTAGTTCTGATCCCAAAATGCCATGGATTACATTCTACAATATTAACTTTCTAAATTACATTGTAAAACAACATGCTTCAGTAGCTATATTTTAAAACTTTTTTTTTTCAACCTTATTGCATACTGACTCGCATCTCCCTGTGGACCAATATTTGGGAACCTGTTGCTTTACAGAACATTACAGTGTCAGTATTCAATGAATATTTTTCTGGTTAGTTGGAATGTCAACCAAGGAGCCTGACCACTTGAAGTTCTTATATGAAGGCAGTGAAGATTTCAGTGTCTTGCCAACTTTTGGATGCATCCCTGCCATGAAAGCAGTTTTTAAATCTGAAGCTTTACAACAAGAGGTTCAAAGACTCAAAGTTGACCCAACAAAGGTCAGAAGTTAATCAGTAAAGTGTTGTCTTAGGCGCTAGCTTAATAATGTGTATTTGATAAATATTGTGTTAGGATATTTATTCTGGCTTTCACTTTTTTTTAATACTATATAATCTAGCTTTCTCATTCTTGTTAGACTTTTATATAGGTAACCTTTACTTTTATTCTTTGTAATTGACAAAGTTGGAGGATAAAAAGAAGAAAAAATTGAATATGTATAATGTATGCTTTTTTTTTGGTATGTAGAAATGCTGACTGCTAAAATGTAATCACAACAGTGTGAATAGCTAAAATAAGGTTGCAAAGGTTGGGGGGGGGGGGGGAATACTCAAGGCCAAAATTGTTCAACTTGTTATCCATGTCAAGTTATCCCCTTTTCCAGTCTCATCCTCTTTGCTATGCTCCCATCTCTGTATAATGACCAATGAACTACAGCATCTCCCTGTCATCATAGAGGGGTCTGGGATAACTTCTTCCTGAGAAATATTTCCATTTTTGTAAGCTCTTCTGAGTGATTTTTATGTATCTCTATACTTATTTACTGGCATTTCATAAATTCGTAAACATCTGATGAGAATTTTTTCCTTGATTTTTTTTGTACAAAATAGTGGATATATGTATCAAAAGCATGTTTTTTGAATCATATAAAAGGAAAAGAACTCAAATTTAGGGAAACAAATTTATTTTATGATCATGATGAATTGGTTACATAGGTTTTCATCATATCATGAAGGTGAATGGTTATCTTAAGGTTTAAATTGAAAATTATCATAGTATAGGTCTGTAGGTTAAAAAGCCATGTTGTTAAATCTTTATCATCAGAGCCTCATAAGAGTAGGAGTGAATTATGTTTCTAAAATAATTATATTTGAAAACTCAACAGGTTGATTCAATCTATCTATATACTACTAAAACACTGAGATTGTTTGTGTTTGCTTGTCTGTAATTAAATACAGCAAAAACGGCACACTATAGTGTCATATTTTTAATGAAATGAGAATAGAAACAGAATAAAACAAGTTTTGTTAAAATCGGACTACTTGTTACAGAGTCAGCCCAGTTTTTCCGGTCACGTTTTTCTAGATGAATTTAGGTACACTAGATGGCGCAACATGTCGGTTTATCTATCTATCTATTCGTTTTCCCACCTGATGAATCACTTTAAAATATCTTCTATACTACAATATATGCACAACAGAAATTAGATGATGATATAAAAATGTGTTATAACGGTGCATAGAAAGAACAACAATAAAATTTACCTACAATGTTATTGACTATTTGCAAATAGTAACTATGGAGACGAGGTAATAAAATAAAAATCAAGTCGAGAAC